AGGGGGTGAGCCATACCTTGGATTTGGGCGTTGCTGACGGCCGCGCCGCCCCGAGCGGAGCCGGGCATACCCCGTCTGAGGCGACGCCAGCGCCGGCGCCGGTTGCCGCCGCGGCAGCTGTCGCCGCCGTAAGGGCGCCCCGGGGAACGCCGGGTGCGAGTGCCGAGGTGGGCGGCTCGTATTCGCCGACGCTGCGAGCCAAGGGCAGGGCGGGGTCCCCCAGGGCGCTGCACCCGACCCGCAGGGGCGCCGCCCTGCTGGCGGCCGCGGCGGCGGCGGACGGCATGCCACGTGGCGGCCGCGCGGGGGCGGGGCCGGCAGGCGATGCGGGACCCGCAGCAGCCGCAGGCAGCCCGCAGCAGCAGCAGCAGCAGCAGCAGCAGCAGCAGCAGCAGATATGGCAGCATCTCTTCGCCGCCAGCCGCCTCGGGGGTGCGATGCATGACGAGCACCCCTACAAGCGCACCCTCCCCAGCAGCGGCAGCGCGAACATCCTGGGCGGCGGGGACAGGAGCGGCCGTGGCACCGGGAGCGGCGGCGGCGGCGGCGGCGGGGCAGCCATCATCGCTGACGCCTCTGCTGCGCAGCTTCGGCAGTTGCAGGCGCAACAGCAGCGGCAGCAGCAGCTACAGCAGCAGCAGCAGCAGCAGCAGCAGCAGCAGCAGCAGCAGCAGCAGCCCCGGCCGAAGGCGGCGGGCTCGCCCCCTGCAGCCACTGCGGCCCGCGCGCCCGAAGGCGACGGCGCCGCCTCGCTGTGGGACCCCGGCGCCGCCGGAGGCGGGGGCGCTGTGGCCCCGGCCGCGGCCGCGCAGCGCTCGTTGGACGGGGCGGGGCTGCCGGTGCTGGAGCTGTCTGTTCTCACTGGGCCGGCGGCGGGGGCGGCGTTCTCTGCAGGGGGAGACAGCTTGGAGGTGAGTGTGTGTGTGTGTGTTTGTGTGTGTTCGGGGGTGCTGGGGGTGGTGGTAGCGCGTGTTGGGGCTGTTCGGCTGAGCCATGTGCCCGTCATTTCAGTTGCGCCCCCCCCCCAAACACACAAACACCTGACTCATGCACACATGCACATGCACACACACACATACACACACATGTACAAAGTTTCCACGCACTCACTCACTCTACACGCGCGCGCACACACACACACACACACACAAACACACAAACACACACACACACACACAAAAACACATACACAAGCACACACACACACACACACACACCGCAGCTCGTCATTGGTCGCCACCCGGGCTGCAGCGCATGCATCCCGGACCCGGAGATATCCAGTCGCCACGCAGTGCTGGCGTGGAGCCAAGAAGACCAGCTGTGGACACTGGTGAGGCGCCCGCCCCCTCAAACCCCCTTTTAACCCCTCCTGGCCCTCGCCCCCGCGGCCGCGAGCGACCGCCGCGCGGCCCGCGGCGCCCGCGCGCGCGGGCCGCCACAGGCGG